CTTTTTCCACTCCTTAGCCCTAGCTTTTCAGAAGATTGGCAGAATAAACATCTTGAAATGGCAGTACTTAAATTTGGCGTTTTTCTTTTTAAACTTGTTGTAGGTTCCATTGCAATTGGTTCAATTTCTGTAATGATCATGAAAAAATCCTTGGTTATGAAGAAGGTTCACCTATCAAAAAATAACTATACTATTATATATATAATAGCTTATTCAAATATATATTTTAAGATGTAACTTTGATAACCCGTCTGTACAACCTTTATGTTCATATTTATTGTTTTTCTGTAAAATTGACGCTCACCTTCAAATGCTCATTTCAAACCATTATGATGTAGTATTCTGGGTGGGGGGTTCTAAAGAGGTATGATACACGTTCACTACACATTCAACATTGATTTTCTTTCGGAAAATACTCTGCTATGTGCTTATTCAAGTTCTGGTTTTAGAGACATAGTCTGATTTGTTACATATTTTGTTAATATTCCCAATATAGTTCAGGTATTAACCCCCTCCCCAAGTTACCTGGATTGACAAATATAGCAAAAATAGGTTAAATTAATTATACAGGAATGTTTAAAAATATTATAGCAAACACTGTATAATATTCATTACCATGGATGTGCAAAATAATAAATTTAAAATATTTTTTTTCACGAATCTAAGGATTTTTTTTGTCTTTTCGCCCCCCCCCCAAAGAAGCTTTGTACCTGCCCTTAACAGCTGTTACCAATGTGGCATCCACCATAAAAGTGTTCCCTACTATAATAGGGACAACTTTAGCATGGATGCCATATTGTACTAAAAAATGCCAACAGATTTTCTTTTTTGATTTTGCCACCCCACTATAATGCTGGCGTTCAGTTTTTCCCTACTTCTTGGGCCATATTTTGTCAGCCTGTAATTGTAACTCCTGAAATATCTTGTACATATTTTGGAGTACATATGGCTGACACGGTTGGGCGGCCACAGTGATTTTAATGAACAATAAAACGACCCTTTGTCTGAGGGTCTGGGTATATTGATTTGTGTTGTAGCATCACCAGCACATGGGTTACCATTTAACGAATACAAATTTCCGGCATAATAAAATAACAAATACAATCTTCATCGACTCAGTTGAATGTTTTAAGCATTGAGGTACGTTTTATAAACTAGACGTGCATCAATATACGACTGTAATTTATATTTATAGATCGATAACATAATGTGACGTCACATAAAAAAGCTTCTAACGGTATAGAGTTTGTAAGTCATGTTATGAGAACTTTGACTTACTGGAATGATGCATGGAATATAGTCACTAAATCTTGGATTGTTTATGGAAAGGACATCATGAATATATTTGAATGTGAAATTAAAGGATTTTCTTTCCTTTTAGTTTTTAACTAATTTCTGTAGAAATTGAGCTTCATGCGAGTAAGAAATAGTCGCTCCCTTTGAAATGCTGATACTTTGTCTAAAATGTATCTTCCAAACCCCAAAACTATATTGTCGATACTGATAATGTTCAACATATACTCATCAGAATACGTATAAGCAATTCATCTTAAATTTGAATTATAATATATCATCCAAGTGTAATAATATTTGACAAGCTCTTATTGACTTTGTATACGAGTGTATATGCCAGCATTGTCGTATTCATATCTATAATTCTTTGTACACAAGACTAGATATCAGACACTGTATTATGTCACATGTGTTAGTCTCCGTCCGTCCACCCGTTTATTTCACAATTGGATCAAAGATGGCCGACTGGCAGCCATCTGATTTTTTGAAAATGTCGTATTTTGGACATGCTTCCTTAGTTTTCATTCAAATTTAGTACATAGATCATACATGTTAGGATCCATGTCCCCGACCGTTCGTGAGTTCCTGAGTCTGTGTGTCCGTCCATGCGCCAGTCTGTCCAGAGTCATAATTCAGAATCCTGTGGACAGATTCTGTTCAGTCTTTGCATGTGCCTAGTACCTTATGTGGGACATGTGCACATGCAGTAGTTTAGCGATTCGATTCAAAATGGCCGACTGGAAGTCATCTTGTTTTTTTTAAATGTTGTATTTTGGACATGCTCTGTCAGTTTTCATTCAAATTTAGCACATACATGTACTTTATACATGTTAGGATGCATGTGCATGACAATTTGTTTCAAAATCTGGTCAAGGATGACCAATTGACAGCCATCTGACTTTTTGGCTTTACCACTATATTTGCACGATTTATGTACCATTTTCTTTTGTACTTGGCAGATATATCATAGATATCAGTGTGATTCATAATCAGATCAAAGATGGCCGAACAACGGTGGGTGTGGGTGTGGGTGAGGTGTGGGTGTGGGTGGGGGTCTTTGTACACAAGACTAGATATCAGACAAGGTATTATGTCACGTGTGTGTGTGTGGGGGGGGGTCGTCTTTGTACACAATACTAGGTATCAGATAAGGTATTCTGTCACATGTATGGGAGGGGGGTCGCTGTACACAAGACTGGATATCAGACACATTTTCTCTGGTAATGTATTTATATTTTGTTATATACTACATTTCAAAATATATTTATTTTGCATAGTTTAGATACACAAAGTACACCCAAAGTACACATCCTGCCCTGTCCTGCCCTGCCCTTTCCCGTCCTGTACTATTTTAATGATATGAGATTGCATGTAGCAATATTACTATATACATGTTATGTTTAATGGTCTAAAGACAAAGGTTGTGTTTCAATTTCATTTTTTTTAAATTCTGCTTCAATAACACAATTTGATTAGTGTTTGGACACTTACATTGAGTCGTCAATAAAACTAGTTTTCATTGCAGTGTTATCTTACGATCCTTACAAATTATCACAATGTGTGACCCGGTCACTATGTATTGAGTAGCGCCACCGGAAACCATAAATAGTTGCTGATCATGGCGCGTAAATTACATCAAAAATTCAGTGGAGGCGTCACGGGGGGGGGGTCGCCCCTCGAAAAAAAATATGTTGGGGGCGTCGTCCCTCCAAATTCAAGCTGAAACCCTTTGTGTCAACAAAATGTGCCCCTCAAAATACAGGAAATGGCGTTACAAATATAGACATATTTGAAAAAATTCAAGGGGGAGCATGACCCGGACCCCTTGTAAGGTCGCGCCTTTGGCGTAAGGTTGGTGGGCAGATCTCGCCCTCCCTATGCAAAATGTCGTGCCACCGCTTCTGAAATTATTCTAATTTCTTTCTTTCTGTGACTGTGTGTATTGTGTACTTGCTGTAAATTGTTATATTACTGTGAGCTTAGCACTTGTATATTCACAGAGTGCAGAGTATTCACAACGTCTACATCACCAATGTAATATGTATGTCATTTGATGAAATTTCATGATATAGACATGATTATGTACATATTCTTCTTTGAATCTAGGATTATGCTATTTGCAATGCTTTCTGTTGAATTGTGAAGTGTTTTCATCATTAAAAAAAATACACATTAAAAGGTGCTAGCCTATATTAATACACTGTTGCCAGGCAAGAAGAGTACGAATGTACCAGTCATGGGAAAATTTATTTTTCTAATATAATATTTTCTATGGCAAAGCATACCATGTCATACACGTTTTGATTGGAAGATTCGATGCTGGACACTGTTAGCATCATTTTTTAACTATTGAATTTATCGTCACATTATCATAATTGTATTAACCCAATTTGTGGATAAAAAAAATCGGCCACACGGTTCAGCCGCCACATTGGATTCACAAAAAATGACATGAAATGCTTGAAACATAATTTTGTAGGAACTAGTCCATGCGAAGGCAATTATGAAAACAACATGCCAATTAGTCACGTAGTCCGGCGGCTATATTTTCAAAAACTCGGATGTAGTCCATTTGTGTCATTTCTAGGGAGTAAGACAGCAAGTAATTTCTGTTGTAGCAACACTAGCACACGGAGTACCAAGCTCATGAATAAAACAGTTATCCTTGTACTTTGTCACATTATTGAAATTCCTATCAATGGTTATTTCAACATTGCAAGTGTTTGTCTGATTTCACTTTCAACTCCAGTGTAGCATATGGTTTTAGATATAGCATAATATATATAAATATAGCATGTGCGATTATTCTCTTTTTGTCCGAAATAAATATTCAAATTGGTCAGTTTGGTCGCCAATATTGAATTAAATTAGTTTATTTTGAATGTGGATTTTATTTCACCTACACGAACCACACATCGTCAACTACCCAAAATCTTCCATGATTGGTCACGTGGTTTGTAAACCATGAAGTGTACTATTTCTGAGAAACGTACTTGACTTTTCGTACCATTATATAATTTACAGAAAAACGACATAACATTTTTAAAATCAATCCATTAAAAACTATTAGTTGATCTAAATAACATTTGGCTGGTAGCATGTATGTACTAAGCCCATTCAAATGTGTGAATCGTTTTATGAATGGTCGCGCGGGCGGCTTGGCGTCCATCTTGAATTGAAGAAAACCAGAATGTACTTTATATTCCCAGCATCACTGACATATATGTTACCAACTTCATGAATACAAACTTTAAGATCATGTGACTATGTTTTTAAAAAATACAAAACATGTCTACAAATCATTTTTGTCATGGAAACACTCCATTTTGTTTCGTAGCATATATGTTATATTGCGATAATCATTGATAATATTGTGAATCATATAATTTTGTTCACAGCTTTCGTTAATATTACTATCATATCATCGACATTTTTCAATATCAGTACCATTTTTTACTGAAAATAACACATTTTATGAAAGACATGTTGAATATTCAAGAACATGTAGGAATTGAATAAACACACGGGTGGATTGTGTCGCCTGTTAGACCACAACCAATTGTTGTCAAATTTAATAGCTTCAGAGAAAAGATAAGTAACGAAGTAAGAATTAACGAAAAAATGCTATTGTTGGAATCTAAACAATGCTCGTTCTAAAGGTTCTGGTCCTGATTTTATATCATAACTAAAACGTGTTGACTTTATTTGCATAAACGAAACATGGATGACTGTTAATGATTCATTTTCGCCTAAACATAATCAACTAGCTTTGGTCTCTGGTAGAATTCTATTATTATGAAAAACAGTAACTATATGGTGCATTTGTAAATTCAATAGCATCTGTAATGCCGTAACGTGGAATAAAAAATAACCATCTATGATTCATTCCTGACAATTGGAGGTGTATATTTATACCCAGAGGGCTCGTCTTCCTATTCGAGTCATTATTCGAAGTAGTTCAAAAGTTAATACGCCAAGTATTCAGAAATAATAACTGTTGTTTGAATTTGTTTCAATTTTAAGAACGTCACATACAGTAGATTATTTAATTTCTGGGAATTATTTATATATTCATCATGACGCTGTTGATAATGTTATCGTTAATTTGCATATAAGGGGACAGACTCGAATCAGACCACCAGCTGTTAGTGCTCAGTTTCAGAGCACATCAAGAAACAATTAAGACAAGGTTGGAAAAGAATGACAAGCTTTTTCAGCACACACGCTATTAATATAAAACAAAATATTCACGACATGAATGAATGATAGCACTGATAATAAAGTTTGCAAATACTATTCAGTGTCACAGCTGACATTAGCCACGTCGTCTATCCAACACGTGGTAAGCATAGCAACAAAGTACATTGTTAGTATGGTTAATTATGTTTCATTACATGCAGGAACTACCAAGTCATCTACAGAAATCGAGACAACAATGCAACACACCAGTGTGATCACAACGAATGCAGCTACTACTCATTCAACAACAAGTGAGCGTTGCTCGAATGGTAAATAGTACTACTTCCTCACCTTACATTAGCGTCAACGGCATTCGCTGCGTTTGCTTGATTTATTTGTTAACTCTACTATTTTTTTTTCTTTTAGGAACGTGTGATCCTGTTTGTGCAAATGGAGGTCAATGTGTGATATGTGGAGATGATCCAGGGTACTGTCACTGTCAAAAAAACTGGCAGGGCAGTACTTGTGAAAATGGTAATCCATTACTTCGTCTTCCATATGATTTAGTTGTCGTGTCAGTATATGATTTCAATGAAATGTTACCCAGTCGGTCATTAGTGTGTCCTATGATTCAGTGTTTTGTATCATAGTGCTGTTATAGTACATTTCAACTTTTTAACACATCTGTCCAGTTAACGCTAGTAGTAATATCGATGATATTTTACCAAACAATGAACTATAGTGAATAGTGATTCTCATTGGTAAATCACAATCCCAACTTTACGCTAACCACATGACCTTTTGTAGACGTAGACGAATGTGCCAGTGGTTTGGATGATTGTGATGACGTTGCTCAATGTACGAATACGATTGGTGGATATGAGTGTACATGCCCATCACTGGGATATAAAGGAAACGGTACTTATTGTGAGGATATTGATGAATGTACTGATGGTACACATATGTGTTATGATAGCGCCAATTGTAGTAACACTGACGGATCGTATGTATGTCACTGCTTGGATGGAGGCACAGATAACTGCACAGGTAAAAAGTCTAACTTTACCATTTTTGTGTACATATGTTTATACGTCTCGTTTATCCCAATTTGTTATCGCC